CCGAAAAAAAAGATGAATGGCTGCATGCAGCTTCGGGGGCCCCAAAAGAAAAAACTTCTGCTGCGTGTTTGTTGTTTTTTTGTGATTAAAATATGAATTTAGGGTTAAATTTATGTTTTAAAATTAAATATTTATTTAAATTTTGTATTAATTTACTTTTTTTTCTCTGAATTGAGCGGAGAAGAGATGAAATAGAGCGGCTATGGCTGCGCTGCTGGGGGGCCTCCTGGGGGGCCCTCTGTCGCCTTTTGCTTCAAAAAAAAACATTTTTGCGGTTAATTTTTATAATTATTTTAATATTTTTACTTTTTCAAACATTTCCAGGGGTTTTAATCCACAAATTCTCAACCAGCCGCTGCGGTGTATGTACAACACGCATGCACGCAACCGACCGGCGCGGCTCCGAGTACGAGTAAGTCTGCTTACTATAATTAAAAAAAAGGAAAATTAAATTTATTTATTTTTTATTTTTTATTTATTATTTATTTATTAATTTATTTATTTGTTTTCTTCTTCTTTTAGCCAACCCTCTCGGCGTGCATGCATCCATGCATCCATCGACCAGAGCCGCACATACATACAGCATACACACATCCTTGTGTTTCATATACACACACACATATATATATATATATATATATATACATATATACATATATATATATACATATATATATATATACATATATACATACATACATATACATAAATAAATATAAATAAACATTCCCCTCCCTTGCGTTGTCTATACACCTCAGGGCCTTCCATTCAGCGCAACAAAAGAAGAAGTAGCATCTTTCTTTAAGGAATATAAACTAGCGGGCCCTCCCTCTTGTTGTATTTATTTTATTTCTCTTTCTTCTGGCCGCCCCAGTGGGGAAGCTTTTATTTATTTTCAGGATGCAGAAGAAGCACTCAAAGCGCAAAAACAAAAACATATGCATTTTCTTGGGAATAGGTATTTATCACTATATTATATATACAAATATAATATATATATATATATATATATATATATATGTATATATATATATATATATGTTTGTTTGTTTGTTTTTAATGTGTACATAATATATATATATATATATATATATATATATATATATATATATATATATATATATATATATAT